TATATATAGGGAAAAGTGAATATACCCTTAAGGGTATATAAGCTTAAGTACCAAAACCCGCCATAATTAGTCGTTTTGTTTGATATGTTCATTATGATGTTATTAAACTTCAACCACTAACTTGATTTACTTTGAAGATTTTCGAAAATTCACTATTATCTTCCTCTTATATCACATCTTTTTGTCGAACACCTACTACGCTATATATATTATAGTTGAAAATGAAAAATTATGTAAGAAGAAGATAAATGTGAAATTTATAAACATCTTGGAAGTAAATCAAGTTAGAAGTTGAATTATAAGAACATTGGACAATTACAATATGTATATATATATATATATATATATATATATATATATATATATATGATACAAAACAACATAGTATGGTGAGTTTGGGTACATAAGCTTATATACCCTTAAGGGTATATTTTTTTTCCCATATATATATATATATATATTCGGTACGGTTCGGTTTTTTGCGGTTTTTGCAAGACTAGAAACCGAACCGCACCGAACATTTTCGGTTTTTATAAAACTAAAAACCGTACCGTCGGTGTTCATTTCGGTTTCGGTTTTTCGGTTTCGATTTATGCGGTTTTTTCGGTTTGCGGTTCGGTTTTTGCTCACCTCTAATTATATTACTGTCATGGGCGGAGCTTTATTAGGACGAAGGGGGGGGGCATATTTTTTGGTTAGAAGTAGCCAATAGCCGTTATATTTTAATTTTATATTATTAAGACTAAAAATATAAAATTTTGGCAGTGCTCACCGTTTTTATATATATTATATTTTCCCCCCAAAATAAAAGGTGGAACCCTGATCACTTTTTGCTTCTTCCAGCTTCTACCTAGTGTTTAATATAATTTAGCAGCTAAAAAACCTCCCTCTATCTAGGGACTGAAATGATCAAACGATATTACAAAGAAGAAATAGGTCATTTTATAATACTTAAGGGACCAAAATCATATACTTTCCACATTTTATTTAATCAAAATCACTCTCTATCCACACGCATAGCACAAACATACTTCCAATGGCGCTTCTGCAATCCTCAGCCTCTTCGTTCATCTCTCAATTCCCGGCGGTTTCTCCAGGCAACTCCGTACGCTTATCTCCACTGTGCGGGAACCGGTACGGTGGCTTGTCGGTCAGGGCGGAAGCGGCGGCTGGGATAGTGTTGGTGGACAAATCGGAAGCGGATAAGGTTAATCGTCTCAAAACATCGTACTTCGAGAAGATTGTTCCTTTGCTCAAGGAAGAATTTAATTACACTAACATTCTTCAGGTATATCATTAGAATTTCTATTCTCCGTTCTCTGTTGCACATAATGGTTAATATCTTCAATTTTACTTATGAAATTGCTTGTAGAAACTAGGGATAATGCTGATTAGAGTGATTATAGTGTTAATGATGAAAACTAGTACTGATTTCTACATACCTAATTGAACTTACGAGGAATCAATTATTCGAAGTTTTCGTTTATGTGTTTATCTTTCTGTTGTGCATTATGGCCAATATATTCAGTTTTACTTATGAAATTCCTTTCAGAAATTAGGGAGAATGCCACTCACTTAGAGTGATGTGTAAGTTGTTAGTCTGTAATTTTTTTTGAAACTTGTGGGATTGTTGAAGATTAGTATTGATTTCGCTCAACTAAATGAGGTTACAAGGTGTTTGGCTGAATTCAGATTCTTTATCAGTTTAATGTGAGTAATGTGTTATCCAGAAGTGCTGACATCTATTTCGAGCTCTAAACATTTTATCTGAAAAATTGATCTATGAACCTCAGTCTACCTTATCCTGTTATCACAT